AATAACAATTGAGATGTTTCAACAAATGGATGCAGTGCTGGAAGCACTCACTCATCTATGCCAAGAAATTTAGAAGACAGCTACCTGGCCAACAGGAAGAGATCCACATTTGTGCCATTCCAAAGAAAGGTGATCCAAGAGAATGTGCAAAGTATCAAACAATACCATTAATATCACACACAAGTAAAATTTTGTTGAAGATAATTCAGAAATGGTTGCAGGAGTACATCAAAAGAGAGCTGCCAGAAATTCAAGCCAGATTCAGAAGACGACATGGAACAAGGGATATCACTGCTAATGTCAGATGGATCTTGGGTAGAAGTAGGCAATACCAGAAAAATGTTTACCTGTGTCTTACTGATTATGCAAAGGCATTCGACTGTTTGGATCATAATAAATTATGGGTAACACTGTGAAGAATGGGAATTCCAGAACACTTAATTGTGCTCATGCAGAACATCCACACAGAGCAAGAGGCAGTCACTCCAGCAGAATAAGGGGATACTGCATTGTTTAAAATCAGGAAAGGTGTATGTCAGGGTTGTATCCTTTCACCATATTTATTTACTCTGCATACTGAGCAAATAATCTGAGAAGCTGAATGTGGCATCAGGATTGGAGGAAGACTCATTAACAACCTGTGTTATGTGGGTGACACAACGTTGCTTGCTGAAAGTGAAGAGGACTTAAAGCACTTACTGATGAAGACCAAAGACCATAGCCTTCAGTATGGATTACACCTCAACATAAAATAAAAATCCTCACAATTGGACCAATAAGCAACATCATGATAAAAGGAAAAAAGACTGAAGTTGTCAAGGATTTTATTTCACTTGGATCCACAATCAACACTCATGGAAGCAGCAGTCAAGAAATCAAATGATCCATTATACTGGGCAAATCTGCTGCAAAAGAACTCTTTAAGGTGTTAAAAAGCAAAGATGTCACTTTGAGGACTAAGGTGGGCCTGATCCAAGCCATAACATTTTCAATCGCCTGATATGCATACAAAAATTGGACAGTGAATAAGGAAGAATTGTTGCATTTGAATTAGTGTTGGCAAAGAATACTAAATATACCATGGACTGCCAAAAGAATGAACAAATCTGTCTCAGAAGAATGCTCCTTAGAAGTGAGGATGGCACGAGTTCATCTCATGTACTTTGGATATGTTATCAGGAGGGACCAGTCCCAGGAGAAGGACATCATGCTTGTAGAGGGTCAGCGAAAAAGACAAAGACCGTCAACAAGATGGACTGACATAGTGGCTTCAACAACGGGCTCAACATAGCAAGGACTGTGAGGATGGTGAAGGACCGAGTAGTGTTTTGTTCTGTCATACATAGGGTGCCTGAGTCGGAACCGACTCGACAGCACCTAACAACAACAAACATACAGTGGAGTTTCCAAAGGAGAAGGAAAGAAAAAGGCAGAAAAAACATCTGAAGAAACAATGACCAAAAATTTTCCAAATCTGATGAAAGACATAAATTTATGGATTCAAGCTTCAGTGAAGCCAAAGCAGAATAAAAATCAAAGAAAACCAAGCCTAGGCATGTCCTAAGCAAACCACTAAAAACCAAATATGAAAAACATCATCTTGAAAACAGACAAAGAAAAATGACACATCACATGTAGAGGAACAATTTAAATAACTACTGACACATTATCAGAAACAATTGAGGACTAAAAAGAGTGAAACAACATATTTAAATTGTCATGAAAGTGGTGATCCCCAGCCTAGCTGGAAGTTCTTCAAAAGACTAGATTTCACATGCCTTGGCACAATAATACTCTCTATTAGACCTCCATTAGATATTCTTTGCTGTTACACTCCAGGAGCTAAGGAATCTGATTCATCTATTATAAAACAGGCAACAGACAGAGAGAGGAGTCCACCCACCATCGCCACCACAGTTCAGTCCTATGGCATTCAAATGACAGACCCAATTCAACAGGTGGCAATCCCCCTCCTCTCTGGGAGTCTTTGCCCAGGCACATATCCCATTTGAGCTGGACCCCTCTTTCATAGAGCATTTAGGTCAGGAGTGTCCAAGGGTGGTGGCAATAAAGACTACCTTCACTCTAAACCAGATCTGATGTAGTTTTCCCTTTGTTATGTAAATAACAGAAAACAATAAGAAATTTTAATATCTAAATCCTATTAGGTACCCCTAAGATAATTCCTCTTTACTTGAACACCTATGGCTCAGTACATTCACAGTTTACAAGTATCTAGCATTTATGCCTATTGCTTAGTTGGAACCTGAGCATAAGTGAAGTACAAGTCGCCCAGCATTTTCTGAAATGGATCTAGGTTCCTAGGTTGATTCGTTTGGCCAATATGCTGACTTCAAATCATTTTCCTTGCAGGATTGGAATCTACAAGACTGCCTGGGAACCACTCTGCTCAAAAATTTTATAAAGACCCATGAACCTATGCTAATGATGGGTTACATCTGCATCTGGGTGGGAAAGCTACTCTGAGATACAATAGTAAGTGCTGTTTTACGACAGGCTATCTCTACCCCTGATCCTTGGGTAGTGCTGACTCTACGCCCAGAAGGTTGGCAATTTTAACTACCGTCCAGAACATTGCCTTTCTTAAATAGAAAGCACAGTCGAAATATTTAGAAAACAAAGTGAGATTCTCCAGCTTAAATTATTTGACCTCTTTTTGAAGAAGTAGGGAAAAAACAAAAACAAGTTTTTCTGGTACTCATAGTATGAGAAAGCTATTCAGAATGGTTCCCTATTTGGAAAGTTTCTGGCATTTTTCAATTAGGCATTGTATTAGTTCAATGGGCTGCCCAGTAATCAAAGAAGACTACTTATTCCCAATAAAATTACATTAGTTCTGGGAAGTCTTCAATGAATTTCAGTCATTGTTAACCCGGGCGGGACCAGCCTCTCTACATCCCTATAAAATTCAAAGAAAACTAAGACAAATGGGAAGTATGCTTTATTATTCTACTATATGAGCGATACATACTTTTTACAGAACAAATACTTTAAAAAAATTTTAATAACATCCATAAAATTGAGAAAGGAAAAAAGTGAAATTCATTTGAGAAGTCTATAAAAGAAACCTCCCCATTTGTAAAACTTATAACACACAAGATAAATTCCGCGCTCAGAAGTTTTTAGAACCCAACACACTCTTTGAATAGCCTCAGGTTGTAAATCCAATTAAATAATAAAACACACGAAGCTATTAGCTGCAGTAGTTAGAAAAAGAATTTAAAACAAAGATTGCTAGGTACTTTGTAGAGTAGAAAGTTAAGCAATAACAGCTATAACAAGGAAAACCCATACAGAGGATACAAGAAGCCTTTATGAATATCAGTAAAGGTAGTTCAAGCTCTATAACCAGAGAAGGGGAGGTGGTGGAGACTCAGATCTTTCTCATTAAAAGTGTATATTATTTTTATTTTTAGATACATACTGGCTTCCATCTCCTCTGAAATGAAATAGTAAGTAGAAATCAAATAATTATTGAGTACTTTCCTAGATTCCTTACTTATTCCTCAAAGATTCCTCTTTAACCTGAGATCAAAGAAATCAACTTACCAAAGATCACAAAATGTATATTTAAACCCAGGTCTGTATCACTCCAAAACTCATACTTTTTCCGTAAGACTATGCTGCTTCTTAGAAAATATTTCACATCAACTAATTTCCCAATTAAATAAATTTTTATAAAACTAGACTAGCCCAAACATTCTCCTTCCCGACAAATCTTCCCTAAAAACTATACTAATCTACTAAGAAAGACGGGTAACAGGTCTCCTTTTAGATTGCCAAACTTAGTTCAGCAGGTGGATAAACAAAGTACTAATAACTAAAGTCCATCATACATACTTGGTTATTATTTTTACTGTAAAATACAGCATCTTCACCACGACAGAGTACAGAATGAGAAACAATCTCCAACAGACTGTAGAAGAGAAGGTTCAGGATTTTCAACCCCCAAATATCAAACTCTCCATTCTTCTAAAGTAAGTCTCTATCCTGGTAAATGACACTAGTCTTCTTCCTAAATTCTTTAGGAGGTTGTTAAAACTGCAGCTTCTGGAATCAGACATACTAAAGTCCAGCGCATCCATTACTAACCTTAACCTTTGGCAAATTAACGTCTCTAAGCCTCAGTTTTCACATATATAAAATGAAGAAATCATAACAATTTATAAAGCTCACTGTCATGCCTTGCTCATAAGTACTTCATAAATGTTAGTTTTATCATCATCAACAACTTGTTATGACATGGAAAAAGTCTATGGAATAATTTAAGGGATTTTGTAAAAACTTCACAGAGGCAATATCAATATCAGTTTTGGAAGGTCTCCCAAAATTTAGGAAGTTAAAACTGGCAAGAGAAACAAGCAGAAATTTTATGGGTAAAAGCACAGGTTTAAAAATGTGTGTATATCTATATATATACACACACACGTACACACATGTATATATGTGCACACACACGCACATATGTATACAGGCAGTCCCCGGGTTACGAACATCCAACTTATGTACAACCCGTAGTTACAAACCAACCCCTGTAAAGCCTATTGTATTAAAAATTCGAGGTACATACAATGGTTCGTAATAACAAACGGGTGCTACTTCATAATGTGCATCAAAACGTTATTATTATTACTGTATTATTATGCTAAAGATGTTTTACTGTATCTGGAAGTGTTTAACGTTTTTTATGCATAGAAAGGTACATTATATACTACAACAAACTTTGACTAATTGACATTAGATATGAACCGCACCTAACTGGTCCAACTTACGTACAAATTCAACTTAAAGACAGACTTAGGAACGGAACTCATTCATAATCCAGGGACTGCCTCTCTCTCTCTCTACAGATATATATATATGTATATATATTCCCTCCTCTCTATTAGTTAGGATAGCTGAAGTCAGAAAGATGAAAAAGGGGTTAAGAGTGAAATATTATTTCATGCAGTAAAAAAAACTGCTTATTTTTCTATTACCATGATAGGGACGCCAATGTCGGGCCACAGAAGGTCCTCTGATGGTAGCTTGGGAGAATTCCACACCACCACAACCTTGTTCAGGTAAGGGAGGCCATTCAGTCTCTCTAAAGAGTTCATAAGCACCTCCTCCCGCTCATAAGTCAACATTACTACTGTGAACTGCTCTCGTGGAACATTGCCTCCAAGTGCAGCCTGAAACTCCTTGCCAGAACCCCCAGCTCCACCACCAATAGGCCGAAATCCAGTGCCTGAGCCCAAAAATTTGGCCTCTGAGGGCAACAAAGGGTCATAGGGTGTGTGGGGAAAAAGATGAAAAGGTCCTGGAGCAGAGTTCCAGCTGCGGTAAAAGTCGGTGACAGTCAAAGTAAAATTGCGGAGGTATTTGGGTGAGGCATATGGGGGCTCTGTTTCTACTGGCCCCAAGTCCAGATCCCCATTGTCAGCCATGTTAGGGTCAGTTCCGGCCGCCTTGCCTGAACGATGGGGGATCTCAGCTGCTGCCTCTTCCCGGATGGGAGCAGCTGGGATCTGTATGCGAGTCCTAATCATAGCCAGCACAGTATTGAAAATACTGTCAGCAGTTGAGAAGTAAGTCTCCCAGAGAAAGCGGCCTTGACGCCTCATAGCCAGTAGGTCACTATCCGAGAGACTTCGTAATAAGAAGTGAACCTCAGTAACACGAGGCTTGGGCACCACCAGGGCTGCCTCATTCCACTGTAACATGTCCTGGTAAGGAAGCTGTATTTGCTCCCCTAGCACAACTGGGACAGCTCCAACTTCTAGGGCTTCAAAGAGCCGTGCTGCACACCCAGATGAAATAACCAAGTGAGGATCCCCAGGAGTGATAATGAGGGCAAAGGTGGAAAGCTTCAGTAATTCTAAGCGGTCCTCTCGCTCCCCACACAGTGCCCACTCAGTAGGCAAACTGGGTTTAGGCTGGTTTTTACAGGTAAATTCTACTAGGACCTGATCTAGCTTGCTGTCCTGTACTGCCTTTAGGGTGGCAATGATGCGATCATCATAGTCAGCAGGGGGGTCACCCTCCATTTCTTCTTCAAAGGAGTGGGCCTCTTGAAGGCTGGATCTCAATGATTCAATCTTCTCACCCTGGAAGGTGAAGAGATATTTCCGCTTAACTGGCACCTGTGGTGGGATTTCCATAAAATTGGGCTCTGACATGGCATGCACTAGTGGCGATACTACCAAGTCAAAGCCAGGTCTGTATTGGGCAGCATAGAAAGTGGACTGCGCCACCATGGCACGGCCTGTACTGACATTATATAGTAAATTCTGTGTATCTGACTTCCGTGATAGATTGATGATGACATGGTTGTGTCCATCTGTCTGCCAATGGGGTAGCGAATACAACTGCTTCTCAAGTTCAGCAGGACGCAGTACCACTGGCTCCTGCATTTCTCCCACTAATATCACATAAAGGCAGGCAATGTCAGCATTTTCTGTAACGTAAACATTGGCTCGAGCTGTAGCCTGAAAAGCCTGCTTAACCAAGGGATCCAGGTAGTTGCCAAAGACAAACTTGTCACTGTCATAAACATAGACCGGAAAACCAGAGGTGAGAGGGCAACGAGAATAATCAAAACAGTTGTGCAGCCGACAACCCAGTATGACCTTCGGAGGAGGAAGACCAGCATCATCCTTCTCTGGGAGCAACCGGATGGGCAAAGAAAGTTTGGGCTGATTTTGGGCCATCAGCTCTTTGTAAGAATGCTCAGTCTGGCTAATGACATTCTTGAGCTGAAGCAGGTCTTGCTTGGCATTCTCAATACTCTTCTTACAAGCTTCAATCTTCAGATTCAGCTTGGCAATTTCACTGTTAAGCTCTTGCCGCTTGGCTTCCAGCTGTAAGAGCTCTTCACTTACAGACTCACGAATTCGGCAAAGATCCAGTACATGCTTTACCTCGCATAGCTCATTACCAGCCCGTGGGCCAAAAATCCGCTTGCCTGCCTCATCAGCTTCATCCAGGGTGGTGAGATAATAGTGAGCAATGAGAGGGAAGAAAACCAGAATGATGAAGAGTGTAAAACTGAGCCATGTAAGTCGGATACGGTTGGACCACCTTAACATACAGGTTTGACTTCCATTCCCCACTCCCCCATTCCGTAACATGGTATAGCCCGTCATGAGTTCTTTTGTGGCTCTTGCCCCCTCTGATCACGTTGGGTCACTCGCCATAACCATGAGTTTCTAACAGACAAAATTCAACCTCTCTTCACTCATGTTTCCTTAAGAATTAGTACACTCACTGTACAAGGCACCATATAAAATGGAAATTTCATTTTCCTCAGCTGTAATTGAAATGGTCTCTGACTCTATTCCAGCAGATTTTAAGTTCTGGTTGTTGACTAAAGAACATGTCCTTAATTTTTATCAAAAAGTAAAAGGTACCACATTGTTGTTGAGATGAAAAACAGGAGGTCTCTGATGAGGAAACCCAGGAATAATACCCTGGAATCAAATAGACTTCTTCAAGTGCCATAGCTCTTGTTCCTTGGTTTTGCTGGCCAACAAATATGCATAGTTAATATTCACAGTTACAAAGTAGCTAGTTAGAAAAGAAATAAATGTCAGCCTTTTATCGATGTCATTACCACCAATCAGGCCTGCAAAAGAAAGAGAACATGTCAGTCTTGAAGAGATTATGTTAAACAGTACATTTCTAGAAAATGTTTAAATTCTAAAAGATGGAACATTGGTGTGTCTCCCAGAACATTGTAAGTCCAATGTGGATTAAGTTTGGCATCGGTGTTCTACTTGTGGTTAATAAGAAATGGGTAAGGGTAAGTGTACAAAAACAGCTTCATTTCTGACACACACACACAGACATGTCTTCCTATTTAACTGGATCTAGAGCAGCATTAAAGCTCTATAAAATGATGATCAACTAAATTCACCAGAGGGTAGAGATGTTTGCATCAATCTGTTAATCTAGACTCCGAGCATCATCTTTAGATAAACAGTAACACCTTCCTATCTAACTTCGGTGGCTCTAATCATTCCTAACATAAAAGTCAAAACAAAAAATCTAGGACTCTGATAAACTCAATATGTTAAATTAAGAGTTGAAGACAATGCTTGTAATCTTTACCCAGTAGCAGATACAGCAATCTGAAAACAAAACAGATTTCCCAGTTTGCTTCTATTTTATCGGAGCCCTGGTGGCGCAGTGATTAAGAGCTCAGCTGCTAACCAAAAGGTCAGCAGTTCAAAGCCCCCAGCTGCTCCTTGGAAACTCTATGGGGTGGTTCTACTCTGTCCTATAGGGTCGCTATGAGTAGGAACTGACTCAACAGCAACGGGTTTGGGTTTTTTTTTTTTGATACATAGATATATGTAAGTATGTATGTATATAAACTTGATCATTAGCAGACGTTATGTGCTTCTTCTTAAAATATGTAACAGTAGCTGAGTCTTTTATAAAGAACCCTGTACTTAGAAACGAGAGGCATATTTTTTATATTTTGGGGATAGATTTACTATTAGACCTTGTGCCTCAGTTTCCTAATCTTCCAAAATGGAGATAAGTGCATCAAAGTAAAGACAATGTACTATTCTGCTATGAAAATAAAGGACAGATGATGTGAAAGTACTTTAGGCTAATAAACCCTGATGCAACATTCCCAGTTCCATTCGCTTACCAAACTTTACTATCACAGGCTACAGAAGGTTTCCACTTACTTTCTTTCAACTTAAACTTAATAGATCTAGAAATGAATTCGTAATATTCTTTGCCAAAGAACACTCCCAATTTCTATCATCCATTTCTTCCAAAAAGTATTCACCACACCCTTAACATATCTAAGACATGCTAAGTATAACTAGGAGAATTTAGAACGTGTAATAATCCTTAACTGCACAAGAGATGAGATATAAACAAAAAGCAAGTGTACCACTACAAGGTAATATAAAATAAATAGTACTTCACACACATGCTCAATCACTCTCTCTAGCTTCTACCTTTGCTAAAGATGTGTAACTACTAAAGGTCTGCTAGATTCCATCTCCCTTTAAGTAAAAATAAACACTTAATGACAACGTTAGTAAAAGCTGTGAGTAAGTAAGTGATAAGGACAACAAAATACTTAATGTAATATTTATGTTGGAAAAGCCTAAATTTGAATAGTCTATACCTGGATAATTAACAGCTGACCAAATATTCTAAAAAATGTAGATCAATATTTCTAAAACATTAGCATTATCCTTTTGACTCATCTGCTCAAATCTCTCTTTTTGCTTTCAAAAAGAGTATTCTCTGTACTTAATTATTATCAAATCATAACACAGAAAGAATAAAGTAGAGAAAAAAAAGGAAGTCACAATCAAGGCACCTCAGCTGATTCATTCCTTGCTTACCATATATTCAGGATCCTTTCTTTCTATGACTTATGTAGCATTATACTTCAGTATATCATTTCTTAAAATAATGAATTCCAGAGTTTGCTCTCCTGATATAAAAGAAAACAGAAAAGTAACACACTATTAAAAAAGTACTCAATCCTGAAGGAATTATTACAGAATTTTATTTACCATACACTATGAAACAGCTTCCTTTATGTATGTAAGATGAACACATAATTTATCACCCAAGCACAGACACTCTTTTAAGTGAAAAGGTATAAATAAATATATAATAATAAATATACAGGGACAAAAAGCATAAATTAGGACTCTTGCAGGCAAGCGAGATACAATGGTTATCCATTTATATACTCTATGAGGGAATAAAACACTAAAATGTGGGAACATCCTTATCTTTTAGATACACATACAGAGATATTTATAGATGAAATAGTATGAATGGAATCTGCTTCAAAATAAACGTGTTTGGAGTATAGATGAAATATGATTAGTTGATTTTGCTGATGCTGAATGATGGGTATACATGTGGATTTATTACACTATGCTCTGCTTTTGTATATGCTTGAAATTTTTCATACTAAAAAACAAAAAATTACAGTTTAAAAAAAATGTTATTTGGAGACTGACTATACTTAGTCTGATATTGTTAGTGCTACCAACTTATGAATGAACAGAACTGGAATAGAAACAAATATTCTAAATGGAAACTAATTAACAATGATTCAAAAGAATTTATTACCATTAAGTTGTTTTACTGGAAAAAGGCAAAAGTGTTATCAACATCTAACAGCATGAACTTTCCTTCCTAAACAGTTAATTATTTCAAGCACAAAAGAAAAAAGAACCCTCAGAATCTCTTCTGCCATTCTCTGGAAAATGACAATGAAGGTACTATGATCTAGAACTAAGTCTCACTGAAACACTGATAAGAAGCAATTTCTAGAGAAATTTGCATTTCTTATTAAGTAATATGCATTTCTTATTAATTCTCAGTCATCTGCCACAGCATTTAATGCCTAACTTGTCTGCCTGCTTCCATTCTTGCCCCCTACAGTGCATTCTCCACACAGTAAGCAAAATCATGCACTGGACCGTGTCACTCTCTCCTCTCCTTAAAAATTTTCAGTGGCTTCCCACTGTACTGCCAAGACCTTCATAACTAATTCCTGACAAGCTCTCTAATCTCAGGTGCCATCACTGTTCCCCTTGGTCACTCAACGTTAGCTACACTGACCTCCTTTCAATTCCTCAACTAGCTGTTTACTACCCGAGAATCTTTGTAATGGCTGTTCTTTTTGTCTGAAATGCTCTTTCCAGGCTTTTCTCTGGTTGACTCTCATTCTTCATGTCTTAACTTTCTTGATACTCCCATTTAAAACAGCCTTTCTTACCCACTGACACTTTCTGGCATGGACCTATTGATTTCCTTCATATTTTCATTTACTTATTTATTACAGTGAAAACTGTGAGAGCCAGAACACAACAGGAAGGCAAGTTTTCCAGCTTTGACAGGGTACAGTCTTACCATTTTTCTATCACTCTCTATTAGTAGAAAATATTTGAGTTTTCCTTCTCTGACAAGTTTCCACCTTATACAGGTTCTGGCTTTTGCAGGTTTTACTGTATCTACCTCTCCCACCAAAAGGTAATCCATGAGGGTAGGAACCTTGTCTGCTTATATCACTGCTATATCGCCAGTACCCAGCACAGTTTTTAGCACATTATAAGTGCTCTATAAATATTTGTTAAATAAATGAATTATATCATTGATCATTTTCTTATTCTATAAACTCTTAGCGCTTCCCTTGATTTACATGAAACCATACATTTTTGGTGTTCCACCATATTTCTCTTGACTTAATTTTTTCCACTTTGCTGGCATCCAGTCTTCCTCGTCCCTCAAACCTGAAAGTGTTCCCCAAGGCTCTCAACAACCCCTTCATGAATCCACTTAATGGTTTCAATCATTACCAACAGTCAGCTCACTCTCAAATCTGTAACTCTGACCTTGTAACTCTAACCTCAGTCTTTCTGCTTTGCACTAGCAGTCAGATAGTGCAACTTCCTAAAGGATACCTCTTCTAGGATATCTCATGGTCACTTCATGCTTCCAAATACTTCCTCTTTCCAGTAACTTTTAGTTCTCCCCATGACACTACATTCTTCCCGTCCTACAAGCTAGAAACAATGTAATATACAGGAAAGAGTAGTACAGACCTCGGAGCTAGCCACACCTGGATGAAACCCCAGCTCTCTAAGCTATTAGATATATAACCTTACCCAGGTCACTAAACCACTCTGAGCCAGTTTTGTTTTTTTTTATATCAGTAAAAAGACAGCAACATTTTTGTTGCAGGATTGTTATAAGAATTAAAGATACCAAACAAAAAAATACTCTCTACAGTATCTGGCAGGTTCTTGTTGTGTTGTTGTTAGGTGCCATCAAGTAGATTCCAACTCATAGCAACCATATGTACAACAGAACTGCCCAGTCCCGCGCCATCCTCACAATCGTTGCTATGTATGATCCCACTGTTGCAGCCACTTTGTCAATCCATCTCATCGAGGGTCTTCATATAGTCCAGCTTCTCAGATTATGTGCTCAGCATACAGATTGAGTAAGTACGGTGAAAGGATACAACCCTGACGCATACCTTTCCTGACTTTAAACCACGCAGTAATCCCTTGTTCTCTTCAGATGACTGCCTCTTGGTCTAAGTACAGGTTCCTCATGAGCACAACTAAGTGTTCTGGAACTCCCATTCTTTGCAATGTTATCCATAAATTGTTATGATCCACACAGTCGAATAGCTTTGCATAGTCAATAAAACACAGGTAAACATCTTTCTGGTATTTTCTGCTTTCAGCCAGGATCCATGTGACATCAGCAATGACATCCCTCATATCACATACTCTTCTGAATCCAGTTTAAATTTCTGGCAGTTCCCTGTTGAGGTACTGCTGCAACCGCTTTTGAATTATCTTCAGCAAAACTTTACTTGTGTGTGATATTAATGATACTGTTCGATCATTTCTGCATTCTGTTGGATCTCCTTCCTTTGGAATGGGTACAAATATGGATCTCTTCCAGTTGGCTGGCCAGGTAGCTGTCTTCCAAATTTCTTGGCATAGATGAGTGAGCACTTCCAGCACTGCATCCGTTTGCTGAAACATCTCAATTGTTATTTCACCATTTCCTGGAGCCTTGTTTTTCACCAATGCCTTCAGTGTAGCTTGGACTTCTTCCTTCAGTACTATCAGTTCTTGATCATATGTATCTTCTGAAATGGTTGAATGTTGACAAATCTTTTTGGTACAGTGACTCTGTGTATTCCTTCCATCTTCTTTTGGTGTTTCCTGTGTTGTTTAATATTTTCCCTGTAGAATCCTTCAGTACTGGAACTTGAGGCTTGACTTTTTTCTTCATTTCTTTCAGCTTGAGAAATGCTGAGCATGTTCCTCCCTTTTGGTTTCTATCTCCAGGTTTTTGCACATTTCATTATAATACCTTGTCTTCTCAAGTCGCTCTTTGAAATCTTCCTTTCAGCTCTTTTACTTCATCATTTCTTCCATTCACTTTAGCTACTCTACATTCAACAGCAACTTTCAGATTTTCTTCTAACATCCATTTTGGTCTTTTCTCTCTTTCCGGTCTTCTTAATGACCTCCTGCTTTCTTCATGTATGATGTCCTTGATGTCATTCCACAACTCAACTGGTCTTCAGTCTTTAATGTTCAATGCGTCAAATCTATCCTTGAGATGGTCTCTAAATTCAGATGTGATATACTCAAGGTCGTACTTTGGCTCTCACAGACTTTTCTGAATTTCCTTCAACTTCAACTTGTAGGCTATTTATTAGCTACAAGCTTTGGAATAATTGTTAATTACTCCAACTCCTTACATTCACATCTGATCTCCTGCCAAAGCTTATCAATTATTTTTTGTAATATTTATAATAGCAACTTATAATAACTTTGGCATTTATCCCTTCCATTTATTCTACTGCCTTCATCTTAGTCCTGGCCCATAACAAATCACAATACCTAATCTCACTTTCCCCAGCAATTCATCCTGTGTATTAACCTAAATCAGTATTTTGAAATTTTATTTAAGAGTGCTTAGCATGAATAATTTCAACTGACCTATCTTTGAGTTCACAAATCCATTCTTCTGCTGTACCCAGTCTGCTGTTAATTCCATCCAATAAATTCTTAATTTCAGGTACTGCATTTTTCAGTTCTGGAATGTCCATTAGGTCCTTTTTTCAGAGACTGCATTTCTCTACTGAAATTCTCTATCCACTTTTTTTCCATCTTTCTTCTATTTTCATTAGCATATTTATAAGAATTAAATTGCTTATCTGCTAATTCCAACACCCGGGACACCTGTGGGTCTAGTGCTACTTTTTTTTTTTCCCTTGATCACACATCATACTTTCCTGCTTCTTTGCAATTTTTTATTGTATGCTGGATATTATGTTTAAAATAACCTTAAAGACTGGAGTAAATATAATTCTCCCAAGAGAGGGCATACCATTTTCTGTCAGACAGAGTGAATATAATTATGTAGTGACCCTCATCCCTATAAACACTTTTTACCTTACAGTCTACACTGGTTAATATTGATATTGGCCACTCAGCTCTCAGTTAATACAGGTAGTCCCCGACTTACGATTTATTTGATTTACAATCAACCACACTTAGAACCATCAGTGTACCTGGCACACTGCATCTTCCTGGGAGGAAGCTACGGGAAAATGCATGCAGGGGATATGGAAAATTGCTGAGTTATGTGAATATACTCCAAGCATTTGATCAGGATAATACTATGGAAGAGATCAGTGGAAAATCTGTCCCTATGACAAGAATGCTGAATTAAGAACTTGATATCCCTGATGCGGAATAGCTCAAAGACCACGAAAGAGGGGAATTGACATATCAGAACTCAGTGGATTTTGAAGAGGAAAGAAATGCTAAAGAAGAAAGAAATAATGAGGAAGAGGAACGAGAGAACTTGTCAAAAATTTTTACAGTGAAAGGATTAGCTGAAGTTTTTTCTATTCAGGGGCTTCAGTTGCTTGAAAACATGGACACAAACGCTGATCGCTTTGCTAAAGTCGACAGGCAAAGTGAGGAAGCAGTGAGATGTAACCGTGAAATACACGAAGAAAAAAAGAAAAGGACCATACAGACAAGTCTCACTAATTTTCTAACTAGAAACACCATCCCCATTCCCAGGGATAATCCAGAACCTTTCACAAGTGGAGTTATTACTGCAACTGTCGAAATGTCAATGTCATCCAACTCTTCATCGTAGGAGTAAACTTTTATGATTTGTGTATTTTTTTATGTATGTACATATGTGTGTACTAAAATACACCTGTAAGTTTATATGTAATGTTTCCAACCCCCAAAGACAAATAAAGATAGGATTTACAAAGATACTGTTAATAAAACGTAATAATAACGCAAACTAAAAAAAAAAATGATGTATTTGATTTATGTCAGAACCGACCTGTGACAGAGTTGTCAGAAGGGAAGACTAGGAAATTTGCCTAGCTTAACTTTTTCCATTCTTTTTCTTTCAAACTTTCCATATTCTCATGTTCTACGTGAGTCTTACAAACAGTTGAGAACAAGATCTTGTTTTTTTTAATAAAAATCTAATCTTAACAATCTTTTTCTTTTAACTGGGATATTTAGTCTACATGTTTATTATGATACAGTAAGATTTACTTCTGACAATCTTATTTTGTGTTATTTATCATTCTTTCTAAGCTGCCACCCCTTTCCTGCCTTCCACTGAGTTGGTCAAGTTTTTGATTTCCTTTTTTAACCCTTCTTTTAGTCTGCAGGAGTCCTTCGGTGACACAAATGGTTAAGTACTTGACTACTAACCAAAAGGTTTGTGGTTTGAACCCACCCAGAGGCACTTTGGAAGAAAGGTCTTGAGATCTGCTTCTGAAAAGTTAGAGCCATGAAAACCCTATGGAGATTCACTGATAGTAGTTGCAGTACCAATCTGGAAGTTATACATTAAATTTGTTTTCTTCGGTGGTTATGCTTAAAATGTAGCATGCATTCTTGATTTAGCCAAATCCAAAGTTTAACAATAATATTTCTTGCCTCCTCTCACCTAGTAGAACATTACCTATGATTACCCATCTCTCAACTTAGATGTCATTATGGACTAATAATTTAGCTCTATCTTGGTTTTATACTCTCAATATTAGCCCTTATTAATAGAATCCATACTTGTTTAGATTTACCCACGTGTTTACCAATTTATTTGCTCAATATTCCATTTCTTTTTGCATTTCTTCCTTCTTTCTGGTTGCTTCTGTCTACCCAAAGTAGTTCCTTCAGTGACAATCTGCTGGTGGTAAACTCTGTTTACGTGAGAACATTTATTTCACCCTAATTGTTGAATGATAGTTTAGCTGGATATACCATTCTAGGTTAACAACTTTTTTCCATCAACACTTCGCAGAAGCTTCTGGATTTCATCACAGCAATTGAACAGTAAGAAGTTAGTCTTAATTGTTATACCTTGTGGGTAATCTGACTTTTTATTCTGGTTGTTTTACAATCTTTTTGTCTTCAGAGTTTTGTAGTTTTGATACAAAGTAACTAGATGTGGATTTTATATTTTTAGGCTCAGGACTCACTGAACTTTCTGAATCTGATGATTCATGTCTTTCATTAATCTAGAAAATTCTCAACCATGATCTCTATGAATATTGCCTGTCTCCCATTCTTTCCTTGAGCTCTTATTAGATGACTAGATGTAAGACCTCCTCATTCCATTTTCCACGTCTTTTAACCTCTCTTTTATATTTTCTATTTTTGTGCTACCTTCTGGAAATTTCCTCAGATCTATCAGTTCAAGAGTTCAGAAGCTGGGAAAATTTTTTAGTCAAGGGCCAGACAGTAATCATTTTAGACTTTCTGGGCCATAAACAGTCCCTGTTGCATATTTTTATTTGCTATTTTTAAACAATCTTTATGTACTTTAATGTATTTTTTGTTGTTGTTGATAATATACACAGTAAAACATACACCAATTCAATAATTTCCACATGTACAATTTAGTGACACTGAGTACATTCTTCAAGTTGTACAATTATTCTCACCCTCCTTTTTCTGAACTGTTTAAACAATCTTTAAAAATGTAAACACCATTCTTACTTTGCAGGCTGTGATGGTAAAGATTATGTATCAACTTGGCTGGGTCATGATTCTCAGTGTTTAAATGTGATCACTCCCATGACTGAATATACTGTAAGTAGCCAATCAGACAAAAGGGAGTTTCCTTGGGGGTGTGGCCTGCATTTGAATATAAGCAGACGTTCTGGCTTTTTTGCTCACTCTGGATTCTGTGGCTGCCTCCTACTGTCTCATCTCCAGTTCTTGGGACTTGAGCTGTCAGCTTATCTGCAGAACTTGGGATTCATCGATCTTCACAGCCTGTGAGCGGAGCCCTGCTCTCTGACCTGCCAATCCTGGGTTTGCC